TACGCCATTTAGTCTCTTTCATGTTGATTTTTATTAGTTTGACGTTTCTAAACAGGACAATCCATCCCAGTGGATTTCTGCCTGGCAATGCAGAAGACCCTCCTCATGGCTTTCAGCAACAAAGAAAAACCTGCCTTCTTGCCATGCATATCTGAAAGTTGGCTAGAGTCAAAATTACTTATTTAAAATATATAGGTCACTTACTCACTATTAGAGGCCTGCTAGTTATTTTCTGTCTGCTCAAGTGTTCAGAAATATTTGGGCTCGCTCTGTCTTTCTGTCTGTCTGTCTTTCTCCTCATTGTAATATATTTTTTGAAGTCTCGCCTTTCCATTTTTTGTCTTGAAAGTAAAAGAAGAAACGCGTCCAATCCTCACTTTGTTACTGTTGTGGCTGCTGACAAAATTGCTGTGATTTTTTTTTTTTTTTTGGGGGGGGGGGGGGGGGGGGGGGCCTTAAAAGCAGGGAGGCAAGTGTCATGCGGGCGCGTCGTAAGGGGCTGAGCTCCGGCTGAGCGCCCGGGGCCGTTTTGCCGCCGGCATAGCCGGAGGGGGAAAGAAAAAAGGGGGAGAAAAAAAGACAACAGCTACATTCCTGATTTTATTTTTCCATAGGAAAGCTCCAGTTCCCTCAAGACAATGCTCGGCCTCAAAGGCGAACCCTGGTGTTTCTGGTCGCTGAGGTGAGCTTACCTACAAAGGAGCAGGGCACCGCATCAACACCCAGTGACGAAAGGTGCGAAAAGCTGTTCTGAGGATGTGGGTATTTTAATTGTTGCTGTTATTACTTGTTTATTTTGCCATCTCAGTGGGCAGCGGACGAGCCGTGCTGCGGGCCGGCCGTGTCCGGGCGCTGCCCCTTGGCGGGGAGGGGGTCCCGGCGGGCTCCGGCCGTGACCCCGGCAGGGAAGCCGTGCTCCAGCCGCCTCGGCGTGGGGAGCCTGTGCCGCACTGGGAAATGCAGCAGCGCTCGCTCGCTCCCTCCCTCCCTGCCCGGGGGGGTGAAGTGCGAGGCAGCGGGAGGAGCCGTGCGTGTCTCCGTGTGTGTGTGTGTGTGTGTGCGAGTGCGAGCAGCGCCGTGGCCGCCGCGTTTCCTGGTGCCTGCTCCCTGACCCCAGTGGCAGCCCCGCTCACTGCACCGCCGCTCCCGCAGCCGCTCCCGCAGCCGGAGCCCAGCCGGAGCCAGGGCCGCCGCCGCCGGGCGCCGCCGCGGGGTCGGGCGCAGGCTCTGCCCCGGCCGCGCCCCCGCAGCCCCATGGAGCGGCCCCGCTGCCCGCGCTGAAGGCATCCCCGGCCCGCCCGCAGCGGCAGCCTGCGGAGGGAAGGTGAGCGGCCCCGGGCCGGTGTCGGGAGCAGGGGGGCACGGCGAGGGCAGCGGAGCACAAAGCGGCGGGTTAGAGGTGCCGTGTCATGGGCGACAGCGGAGGGGGGCGGGCGGCAGCTCCGGCGGCGGCGCCGGTCCAGCCTCCCGCGAACAATGCTGAGCGTGAACGCGGCCGCCCGCGCCCCCGCCGTGACCGCCCGAGCCCGCCGGGTCGGGTCGGGTCGTGTCGGTGCGGCGGCGGCGGCGCTTCCCCGCAGCCGAGGCGGCGGTGTCGGCGGCGCTGAGCGAGCCTGCCCTGCTCCGCTGCCCAGGCCGTGCCCCGCTGCCCTCCGCCGCTGCCCGGCCGGGCGCAGGGGCGGCGGCGGCGGGGTCGGGGGCGGGTTGCGGCGGCGGGGCCGGCAGGGTAGGCCGGGAGCATTGTGCTGGCTGGGGCCAGCGGGCGGGCGCAGCGCCGAGCAGCCCGGCGGGCGCGGAGGGAGCCGGCGATGGGGGGAGGCGAGGGGGGGACACGCCGCAAAAGTAAGGAGGGAAAGGCGGGTTGGCTCGGCGTCGCCCGGCGGAGTTGCCCCTCGCCCTTTCGGCGGCAGAGAAGCCGCTTTGAAACCCTGATCCCGGAGGCCTCAGACACTTGGAGCCCTTGGAGGGGTCGCGGGCGCGGTGCCGGGGTCGGCCCCACCGCGATAAAAAGCGGCGGGCATCACACCCCCGCCCGTGCCCGCCGCGCTCGCCCGCGGCTGCTGTGGAGTTCATCGCATCCCTCCCCCGAACCGAGCATCCTCCCCCCCCCCCAGCCCTTTCGGTCCGTGGCACGGCGGGGACGGGGGCGATGCGAACTTTGTGCGGCGCGGCACGTACGGCGCAGACGGGGCAGAAATGCCCCCCGGTGCCGCGGGGCGGGGGCAGGGCAGGGGGCGCGGGGCGGGGGCTGCGGCACACGCCGGGACGGGGCCGCGCCGGAGCCATTGGCCACCCGGAGCCATCAATCACCGCGGGGCGAGCCCGGCGCCCCGCGGGGCCGCGGCCGGGGCGGGCGGAGGCGGGGAGCGGCCGGAGCCCAGGTACCGGGGGTCGGGGCGGGGGGACGGGACGGGGCGGGGGTCGGGGTCCGCCCCCCGCCCCCGCTGGCTCCGCCGGGCTCGGTGGGGAGCTGGAGCGCGGAGTTGTCCGCCAAGTGCAGCGCAGCATCTCGGGGAGCGCCGGAGTCCCGCGGGGCCGGGGCGCACCGTGAGTGCCGGGGGCTCCGGGGCTCGGGACCGAGCGCGGCCCCGGGCGGGCGCAGCGTGCTGGCGGTGCAGCAGCGCCGGCAGAGCGCACGGATCACCGGGAGGTGTTGACACGGGCTTAACCCTTCCCGGCTCCTGCCTTTCGGCGTTTGCTGCTGCAGCCCGGGCCCAGCTAGAGGCGAATGTTTGAAATTCAGATGGGCAAGGCGTAAATATTTTATTTGGGGAAATGGGTTTTTCGCGTGCCTTCGTGTGCATGGGCAGAGCTCGTGGGAGCGGCTGACTGTGCGATGTGACGCTACACGGAGATGGACTTACCTGTGCAGATTTCGTGGCAGTTTTCTGACGGGGCGGCAGTGTACCGCTTTACAAATAGCTGCAGGCACGTTTGGGTCAGCCCTGTTCCGAAAAAGCTGCGGTTTGTACCTGTAACACCGGGCAGATGCGTACAATGGCACATCTCCTGTCTTGCTGCCGCTACAAATACACGCTGGAAAAGGATAACAGCCTGTATCTGGGAAAAGGCAACATGCTGAATAAGCGTTATTTGGGTTTTTAATATAGGCATTCTTACTTAAAACTGCCTCGAAAGGTGTGGAAGACACTACGCGTTGTCTTGCTAGATGGGAAAATAATCCAACTTTTATTTTTTTGCACTCATCTTCTGTGAGTAACCTTCCAATAGTGCTCATAGTTGGAGAAAGAAGAATGGTAGCGATTCGAAGAAGTCTCTTTTAATTTCTTTTTCTTTAATCTTGGGCCTAAGATATGTTTGTTTTAAAGTTTTGAAGTGTTCAGCTTCTTTCTTCTATTTTCTTCAGAGACGTTCCCAGTAAAGAAGGTAATAATTAGATACTTCTGATAATTGAGCTGTAGTACTCTATGGAGTATTAAATGGAAATTAAGAGAATTGACACAGAAGCCAGCTTCAAATTATCATTTCTTTTTACCCCTAGTCTGGCATTTGTTGTTGAGTTTAATTTTAAAAGGCTGCTTTGTTCAGCTTTGTCTCAGTTTAAGTACAGATTTATTTTTAAGATTAAAGATTAGAACAATGGGAAGCAATTGCAGCTTATACACTTATAATCTTACTGAGAGTCAACTTAAAAGTATTTAATACAGCTGTCTCAGTGTCCTCTTGTCATTTGTTTTATGCCAGTTAGTTGTAATTTCTTTCTGGACTGCTACAAACATTGTAAAAAAAATGGCTATTATCTTTAGGTATAATTCATTCTCATGAACAAATTAGATTTTTCTTCCATGAGTGAACTATAATATGAAATTTAATGTTCTGACCTTTCTTATGCTGGGTTGCTGAAAACAGTGTCATTTAGCTTTTCTGATATCCCAAGCATATTTTTTGTTGTTGATTTAATGCATTTTTTTTATATTGTTGTTTTAATTGCAGAAAAAACCCAACATTATATGTGTAATTTTCTCACTACTTCTTAATGTATGAAGGCTCCAAAGTTCTTGCAGTGTAAAATAAAAACTCCTTATTATTTTTTTTTTCCCTGGGAGCTCTGATGGCCTGTCTTGTTAATGACAGTCATTTCTCTGGCAGGAAGATGTTTTCATTTGTATTTACTTCTCAGTACAGGCCAATTATGCTGTTCTGCGTTGTGCACTCTTCTTAGTTTCTATCTCAAAAGAACTGCAGCACTTGAAACAGGACTGCAGTTTGAAGCAGGTGTTGTGTTTACTATTATGCAAAATAACACTAAAATATAATTGTAAAGGAAATTCGAGAAACAGCTGCAAACTTGGCGTGGTAACCACTACAGCTCTTGCAGCATCTTACATCACATCTAGCACAGCAAAGATGTGTTCCAGCAAAGCTCACCCCTGCTGATTTTTGCTGCTGAAACCTTGTTGTCATGAGAGAGGTCCATGAGGTCTCACAAGGGAGGACCAGGCTGTAACCACAGTTACAATGCTCTACCATCTCCAGTGACAGTTTTGAAATCCATGCTTTAACTTTTAATTTCGTCTTCATCTTTTTCTTTTAATTTTTTCCTTTTACTTTTTTCCTTCCAATACTAAAGAAGATGAAGGATAGAATCCAGTTGCTAGAATGAAGGTTGCGGGATGTCTTAACCCAGCCGACATATGGAAGCCTACATAGGCCTGAGGTGGTAAAATAGTAAAATAAATGGCCTATAGCAGGCCATCTGCCATTTACAGAGCGTTTTCATCATGTCTCGTGCCAAACTGGAAATTACTCTTTGTATTAAAAATATATTTGGAATACAAATCAAAGGTTTCAAATGCTCAGTGTTACACATGGCAAGCACATTTCTGTCTGGGAGCTAGAGAAGCCCAGGGAAATTGCACTGGAAAAATATTGCTTGGTTTGGTGCTCAGGGCTCAAGTCATTCTCTTCTCTTTCCCATCTCTTTGTCTTCTCAGTAAGCAAGGATTTACTTTTGTGAAATGCACTCCAGGTAGGAAAAGTCCACTCTTGCACGTGGCAGCTAAAGGGAGGAATGTCAGCGGGTTCCGAGAGTGGGGATTTCATGCAAGTCCTTGCAGCTAGCCCCAGCTGAGGATCTGCCTCATAAACGGGGCTTTTACAGAGTTGCTCATCTTGAAAGTATCCTCCGACCATCATCTGATCAGTTCCCGATCCTCAGGACACGGACCGAGACACCGGAGCCCACGTTTTGCCCAGGGAGCTCAGCTGAGCGTGTTTGGGAGGTTCTGGCTCTTGGGCTGTGCTGGTAGCACAGCACACACCCAGGCCTAACGCAAAATGTGTTTAAGAGCACTCTGAAGAAGCCAGACAGGGATGCACAGAGAGGGAAGAGCCTTTTTCTTTCACCTTGTGCAGAAACGTGCATAAAATCGCGCTGTAATCAGATAAATCATTGCTGTCTGCTGACAGTGGATCCCAACCAGGTTCAGCGCTAGCGAGCTATAATGTGGATATTTTGTTAACATTGCCTAGATACTCACCTTCCTCTGGGCACATAAGCGCCTCGATTCAAAGTATTTGGGTGTGCCTTTTGCTATGCAATGGTAACGTGTTCTCTACATCAGTTTCTTGCAAGTTTCTCAGTTGTTAGTGCTCTAAAGCTACAGCAGCGGCTTGAAAACAAGTGTGCAGGTTTGTGGAAAGTCCTCTGTCCTTCGGGAAGCTGGCTCCACTTGTGAGTTTTCGTGGTTGCAATTAAACGCAAGATGTTATTTAAAATCGAGGATATGAAATGAGGAGTATTTAAGTGCAGCTTTCAACACAGATATGTTATTCCCCCTTCCCCCACCCCCTGAAGATAAAGCCTTACTTTAAGCATTCATCGTTTGGATGTGTCTGATGACGATGGAGCTGGATGATGAGGTAATTAAAAAAAAAAAATGAATAGTAATGCGTGGAGAGGGGTGATGGGTACATGAGGAATTATAGAAAAAGATCTCAAATCTGAATAGATCTCAAATCTGAATGGAAGTCAGGAGAGTGTAGAGCACTGGGTCAGGGTGTGTTTACATCTCATGGCTTACAGCAGCGTGTGCTGTCTGTCTCTCCTGGCAGAGGTCACGGAGTTGATGCGGAGCTGCTGGGAGTCGGGATCTGCCCGGACCACAATGCCCTGCCCTGCCCCTGGCCTTGGGAAGCTGTGAGCTGCTCATGTCCATAAGGAGGAAGGATGGCTCATGGAATTCCTTCACAAGGCAAAGTTACCATAACGGTGGATGAGTACAGCTCCAACCCAACGCAGGCGTTCACACACTACAACATCAACCAGAGCCGCTTCCAGCCTCCCCACGTGCATATGTGAGTATTCCCCCTGTGTGCCTGCTGCGTGCCTGACACCGGGACTGCTGCTCGGGGAGAGGCTGCCAGACTGGGAAACTGCCTTAGTTAGCCACGGGATCTAAAAGGCAGAATGGTCAGCAGCTTTTGGACCCGGTGTGTCCGAGGGGTGAGGTGCCGGGCTCCGTCCTCTCCTGGATGGAGGCGCTCGGTGCCATCACCTCGGTGGGATGGTGGGGCTCGATGGGTGCCACCACCTCGGTGGGATGGTGGGGCTCGATGGGTGCCACCACCTCGGTGGGACTCGCCCCGTGCTCTCAAGCTTGTCACTTCACTGCTCTGGCTTTCACTCGCCTGAGGGACCCCTTGCTTTAAGATTTAAGCTCCCTTCCCCCAGCGCTTACACTCAGCTGCGAAATAGGCCTAATTGGGACTAATTGTCCCCCCCCCCCCCATCAGAGCATCCTTTGTCCTCCTGGTTGGAGCGGAACGTGTGCCGAATTCCGCATTCCACCCGCGACCTGCCGCACAAAGGAGCCGGGGCTGCCCCGCGGCTCCTCCGAAGGGCTGCGAGCCCTCCCTGCAGCCGCAGCCCTGCGTGGTGGGCAGCTGCAGGTTCCTGCTGGCCTCACCTCGGTATTCCTGGCTGCTGTGGCACCCTGGCGGCACAATGGGCTGCTGGCTCAGCACAGCACCAGCTCCAACTCTGAATTTCCTTCCCATTGTTTAGCGGGGGTTTGATCTTTATCGGTTATTTATGTGAAGGTTCTTTTTCTTTTAGCATTAATAGACTGAAAAGCACGTGAAACTAAAACAAAGCCGACATCCCTGGACATCCTGCGAGCCATTGTTAGGCAGGATTTTGAACCATGTCGCACTATTGAATTTGATAAGGATTTTGCATAATAAGGGGGGAAAGTTGTATGGTACTTCATTGCATTTTTGTTATGTAGAAGCCTGCCGGAAGAGTCACAATGTAGGAGTTCAGCACCTTCTAATAGGATTTCTTGTGGTCACAATGTTCCTAAAGGCAACTTTAGGAAGGATGCTGAGTGTCTGTGTGCCTTCACTTTTCAAGGTGGAAAACTTTCCATTAATTACATTTGATTTATTAGTACCGCGGTGATGGAACTTTGATTTTAGAAACATTTCCATGTCTCGATTCACTTTTTAGACCTTTTGCCAGCAAACTCCTGTTGCGTGTTTTGCACTCCAGGCTGTGCTTCTGACTGACATTAAATACAAATCTTATTTAGAGAATGAATTCAAAGCAAACAAAAGAAAATCATAAGGCAGTTGTAAAGAACCCCTTCCTATTGACATTGACTTCAGTGGGAGCTGAATTTAAGACTAAGTGTGGTGTTCAAAACTGTAAGAATTGTTCATGCTTTGTTTAAAAACCTCACAAACATACAGGCATTCCTCTAAGGGATAGTGTAAAATGATACTAACTTGATGAATGTCTTGAAGGATACTTGTTTGGAAAAACTGTGTAGTTGAAATAAACACCAAAACTTCAAAGTGCGGTACAGTGACAGAATTTTAAATAATTTTAAACTTAAATACTGCAACTTTCTTAAAATCAGAAATTTGGGTTCAGCAGAAGGTGTGGCACATGAAAGGGAGATCAGAATTTGGAAAAACTGGCAACGAATTGGTCTCAGATCCACAGTGGAAGCAGACAGAAATGTTCCAGAGCAGGAGGTGAGTTCATAAGTCTGGGTAGCAAATGGCAGATTTTAGAAAACCTGTTGAGAAAGAAAAGAGGGGCTCCTACCAGGTGGGCAGAGGAAAGCAAGGAAGTGAAGATCTGAGTGTGCTGAGGGTTTGTGTGATGTGAGAACAGCAGAGTTGTTGCTGGGGAGGAGAAGCTGGATTGTGTGGTAGCTTCGGATGGACTCTTTGTCTTTTTAATGTATTGTAGTGGAAGTTTTGTGTGTTCATCTGAAAGAGGTTGTCATCAAGTGAGAAATCTTAACAGAAAATTGGTAAAAGCAGTATTAACAAAGAAGCCATGATCTTTTTACCCTGTTTTGGCTCTGTTAGTGCTACATTGCTGCAGCTGCCAGGATTGATTTGATTTGGTTTTACAGTCTGCTTTTCTTTGCTGCTGTCTTTTAGAGTAATGCATGTGTGTGGTTTGTTGGTTTCTTTTTGGTTGGTTGGTTGTTTTTTTCCCTAAGAGGGGGTTTGAAGAGACTTTATTCTCTGGTGAAAAATTTATTTTAAAAATCGTGGGATGAAGAGAAATGAGTGAAGCAACATGGGAGCTGAGTTTTGTGACATGTATGTGAACAGCAGGGCAATCTATTGCTGCATGCCATAAATCAGGAGCTCGTGCTGCTTGAGGACAGTGTTCTTTGCTAAAGGAAATACTGCTTTTAGAAGTAATTTCTCTATGGTTGTGCATCTTCCTGTGCAAAGGTGAGAAATGTCTTCCTGGCTCCCACTGAGCCATTGACAGGGTCCTGTATCCTTTGGGCCTAACTCTGATTTCACAGAGAGCAGAGTCCAGCATTACCTCCTGTAAGGCACTACTGGCACTGCTTTGCCAGTTCACATGTCCTGGGCTGCTTCTCACACTTTTATTTTGTGCCTTTCATGTAGTTCAATCAGCTGGGATAGAGTTCTCTTATCTTTATATGTATTTTTTATACTCCTTAGTCAATTTGTTTAAGCGTAGTGTCAGTTAACAGCAGAGTATTTATTACAGCTCCCTTTGCTTGGGCTGGCAGCAGCAGCAGCTTTGTCAGTATAGCTTCTGAATCAGTTTGTCCAACCATTTCATTTAATTTAATTGTGTTTCTCTCCTAATTAGTGTTTGAACAGGTATTCTAAAGGCAATTTTTGCTGCACAATTGTTTTGCATAAAGGGATGTAATCTTAAATATTATTTTGTCTTCTTGAAGCGATGCTCCCACCCACAGGATTCAGTTACTCTCTGACTGTTACAAAGTGTTTGTATTTAAATGCTTTGTCCAATTAGTGTTTACCTTCAGTTAGTTTTAATTAACAGCATCATCTTAGTTCCCTGCTTTCAAGGGCATCTGCAAAATAATAAATAACTATAATATTATGGTTATTAATATTATAATACCTATAATATGCTTCTCTGTGGTTCATGTTGATTACTATTTTTTTGTGAGTTTTCATACTTCGAAATTTCTTGGCAAGAATTGTGACTTAAAGAGGGAAGTGCTCCTTAGGTGTGTAAGAGTGTGTTTGAGGGTTTTTTGGATGTTTGTTTATTTATTTTTAAACCAAACCAGCTTTTAAGCTTGTTTAGACTTTTAAAATATTCTGTATCAGCTTCCTAGCAGTGGTTCCAATAATACCAGTGAGCAGCAGTGGGACGCAGCCTGGGGATAAATTCAAATGAAAAACTACTTCCTTAGTTTTTAACCAGACGAAAATCTTCCTGTTTAGGTACAACACCCCATTTACTTGCAGAGGGAAAAAAAAAAAAGAAGAGTGAAATAAACCTTGTGTATGTATTATGGAAAATGCCCCTTTGGGCAGGCCTGTCTGGTGAGGATGAGGGAGTTTTGTGAAGATAAAATAGCTGCAGGCTGAGCCTTTTGGAGGAGTGGTGGCTTCTTTTTTAGGGTAGTTTGAATGCATGTGAACACTTTGATATGGCTTAAATTCAATAATAGGGGAGTAAGAAAGAGGTTCCTATGCCAGAGCAAAAGTCCTCTAAATAAGTTTATTCATACCTGGAGATATATTTTTCAATCTGTAACTATATAATTTTACTGCCTTTTCTGTACTAGAGCACTCCCTCACGTGAATGTTTTCATTTTAAAACAAAGAGTATAAGCACAGTTTTATATTGGTAGAAATATATGTCTGGTTGAATAAAGTACATAAATGTCTGTATGTAAATACATATATATAAAATCTGAAACATCAAAGTAGGGTACAGTGACAGAATTTTAAATAATTTTTAACTTAAATACTGCAACTTCCTCAAAATCAGAAATTTAAAACAAAATTTTGGTTTAAAATCAGAATATAATAATAATAAAAAAATAAAAGCACAGCTGTTTGATCATAGAAGAAAATACTTTCAGCTGTGATGAAACCTGACATTGTTAGAAGCCAGAGATGTTATTAGACTGCTAACCTTGACAGAGAGGATCTTGGTTTCTTTTTTTTTTTTCCCCTTTTCTTGAGGAAACCATTCTGCATTTAATGGGCTTTATAAACTCCCCCTGAGATTAGAGGGAAATGATGCATTTGATTTGCAGCATTCCCCAATTTTGTTTCGTGTAAGGTGTGTGATATTCAGCGGGAGGGGAAAAGAGTTGGCCTTAGCAAAATATGAACTCACTTGACATTTAGAGAAAAGTGGAGCTGGTACATGTAATGTTATTGGTTGAGAGAAAAAGAGATTCAGTCTTACAGCAGTCAGCTGTGTGACTGGCCAGGCTGCTTCAGCTGCTGCTTGTAGTTTTGCTGGAAATTGCTGCTCTGGCCATTAGTTACACTTCTTTTCTTTATTTTTACAAAAGCATGCAAAGCTTGTAACTATTCAGGTTTCTTTTCACTACTTATTTTTCCAAATAAATAAATAAACAAATAGATATTTACTATTAAATAAATATATAAACACATGTATAATATATATTTATAATAAATATATTTATTATAATATTTAATATTATTAAATATTACCTATTATAAATATATAATAAATACACTCTGAAACAATCAAGTGACATTTAAGCTCTAGTTGTAGAATGAGTGCACTTAAACCAGGGATTTTTTTCCTGGGGTCAGGGCTCATGATCATCTCACCTTGGTGCAGGTTTAGTCTCCCTGTCTGCTCCCTTGTCATTAAAAAAACTCTGTTACTAGTCCTGTGCATGTCTGTGTGAGAGATCTCTGCCATCTCACTGATCGTACACTGTTCAAAGTTACTCGTGCAAAAAATGTAAGCAGCGCCTAAGATCTAAACTTAAATTTTAGGTGTAAAATGAAAATTACTTTTTAAAGAAGCGACACTTATTTGGGGTGCT